CTCATCTAAGTGGAATATTTGAAACTTTGAATTTAGATTTTCTATTACTCTTCCCTCTCATGAAAATTTCTGTGTACTAAAACTATGTTATCTTCTTAGTTCCGCCATTTTTATTGTGTTATGTATAAATGTCTGTAGGTGGAGGCATCTTTAGCATAAAGTTGAGTTTGGGTTTAGGGTTAGAATTAGGGTTATTGAGGCATTATTGAATACCGCTGTTGTCTATACTTTCAAAACTATTTAACAAGTGCTTTCTAAACTATTTAACAAGTCTCATTTTTCAGCCTGTTGGAAATTGTATCTGTTATCCTTATTTTCAAAAATTCTGGAGAGCGATCTGATTCGTCGAACTACCGTCCCATTAGTCTTCTTCCTATCATAAGCAAAGTTTATGAATCTTTAATTAACAACACTTAATCTCTCATCTTGAATCTAATAACTTACTTTCTGATCATCAATATGGATTTTGATCATCTTGTTCCAAAGCTGATATACTAACAGTAATAACCGATAGGTTTTATTGTGCATTAGATATAGGTCGAGAGGTTAAGGCTATTGACATTTTTAAAGATTTTGATAAAGTTTAACATGCTGGTTTTCTCCATAAGCTTTCTTCTTAAGGTGTATCTGGTGACATAATTAATATTATTGAGTCCTTTCTTTCCAATCATTGTACTATAAAAGTTTTCCTTGATGGACATCGTATATTCTTCGTATCATTTAATTTCAGGGGTTCCACAAGGTCCGTTGGCCCTACACTCTATTCAATTTACATTAACAATCTTCCAGATATTCTCACATCTAAGGTGGCATTATTCGCTGATGATACTACCATTTATTCTTGTCATGATAAGAAGCTAACACTTTTTGATCGCTTCTGGGGCATTTAAGCTTGAAAAGAATCTCACTTCTGCTTTAGTATGAGGCTCACAGCAGCTGGTGATCTTTAATTCAGATAAAACCCAATATTTTTCAGCCAATTGTTATTGCAATAATTTAGATCTTCCTATATTTATGAACAGTAATGTATTCGATGAGTCATCTACCCTTCATCTTCTAGGATTAACTCTTCCTTCTGATCTTTCTTGGAAACCGTATATCAAATCCATTGTAAAATTAGCATCTGCCAAAGTTGCATCTCTTTATTGAGTTCGACACTTTCTCACTCCGGATTCTATTCTTTATCTCATAAATTTCATATCCGTCTTTTTATGGAATGGTATTGTTGCCATATCTGGGGTCGATCTTCTAATGATGCCTTTTCTCTCTTAAAGTGCAAAAACGCATTGTAAACATAGTTGGACCTGCTCTTGCAGCTAACCTCCAACCATTATCAAATCGTCATAATGTTGCTTCTCTTTCTCTTTTTTATAAATACTTTAATAGGCACTGCTCTAAAAAGCTAGCGTCTCTTGTGCCATCTACTAAAATTCATTCTTGTGTTATTTGTAGAGGTGTACTGGATATTTTTTGCTGGATATGCCGGATAGTGAACTTTTCTCAAGTTTAATAAGTGTTTATGAAGTAAAAACGAGTTTTACCATTTAAAATTTAAAAAAATAAAATCAATAAATAACTGGTATAACACAGATATATGCGTTAATAATGTATACAGAGAAATCTTTTTTTTAATTTTTTTTTTTTTAAATTACTATTTTCTATACTTTGTCAGCACATATACTATGTCATACAGTTTCTCACTGTTTTTTTAAAGTAAGAACTTGAATAATATTTATTGTAGACTGGCAAGATTTGTTTTTTCTTCATAAACACTTATTGAACTTTAGAAAAGTTCACTATCCGGCATATCTGGCAAAAATACCCAGTACACCTCTAGTTATTTGTTATTCAATTAAGTCTCATCCTTTTTCTGTGACTGTTCCTAAATGCTCCAAAAACTCTTATTTTACTAGTTTTTTCCTCGAACATCAGTTTTTTGGAATTCGCCTACTTCATCTTGCTTTCTTGATTCTTATAATTTGCTATCTTTTAAGTTGTCTGTCATTTGTTATCTTGGTCTCATATTTTCTTTTCCAGTAACTTCCAACTCTAATAGTTGTTGCTTGCAGCCTTGTTGGAAGTGATGATGTTAAGAAAAAATCGTCATCAAATCTGATTATAAACCATACTTGCATACATACTTGCTCAATAGATTTAAAGTTAAGCTTTAAATCTATTGAGCAAGCTTTTTTTCTTTTTTCTAACTTCTGTTGTGATTGTATCATTTCTAATGACACCTAATGTAAGCTACGCCTCCTCTGCTATCTCTGTCTGCTCAGTGCAGTTCATATCCTTTTACAACTGTGTCAGTCGTATTACTCATATTAGTCGTATTACTTGTACAGTTGTATTACTCCTATTAGTCGTATTAAAGGTTATGCTTATTTACCATGTCTCTGCTAAAAACAATATATGAGATCTTTCATGCATTGGATGCATGAAAGATCTCATATATTCTAGCTATAAGCTCTCCTTTATATCTCCTATCTTTTTATGTGTTTATATATGTATATTTTATATATATGTATATATATATATATATATATATATATATATATGTATATATATATATATATATATATATATATATATATATATATATATTTATATTTATATTTATATATATATATATATTTATATATATATGTATATATATATATATATATATATATATATATATATATATATATATATATATATATGTATATATATATATATATATATATATATATATATATATATATATATATATATATATATATATATATATATATATATATATATATATATATATATATATATATATATATATATATATATATATATATATATATATATATATATATATATATATATATAAGCATATTTTTTGTATAAATATATCTCTGCAAAGCTAAGAAATTTCATTAATATTTTGAATTGAAAATTAAATCTCTAATTCGGAATTGAGCTTGGTTAAGTTTTTTAGGATATAGCTTCTTTTTTTTTATTACGTTTAATTTCATTTCTAAGTAAATAAAATTTATAATACGTAAAATTCATTATTGTAAAATGATAGGTATTTAAAACAAAAGTATAATATTACAACTGCTAAAAGTAATAGTCATTGTCTGTTTTATATTACATAATTTATAATTATAATGAAAATAATTCATTATAATTATATAATTATATAAGATTTAAATCTCAAAAAAAGATTCCAATTGAAATTTTAATTTATCGAATATATATTACTGATATTGAATTAAATTATCGTCAAGAACTTAATCTTGACATTTTGAATGAAAATTATTTATATTTGAGAAATTGCTATATTTTGTATTTATTTTAGTTCCCCCAGAACCGCAAATTTTCAAAAAAAACGAAGAATCTGTAATTTTTATGTTTACGTATCAAGCTTTGTTTAGCAACAAACTTCGAATAAACATATTTATGAAAAATTTCAACGAGCAGCCTCTAGAACTTTATGATGTTCAACTTTTAAATGGATCAGTTAGTTCATTTTTTATTTAATTATTTAATAATGTTACACAGTTTTAGGCTAATACTAATGTTTAATAATGTAAAGTATTATTAAATAATGTAATAATAATACTTTACATTATTAATAATATTAAATAATTCTAGATTAATATTAATATTAGATAATGCTTTGTTTATAAATAATGCTAATATTTCATAAATAAATTTAAAAAATTTTTAACGTTAAACTTTAATATATTCAAATGTTTTATGTTTTTTTTTTTTTTTTTTCAATATTTAAAAAGAGTTTCTTTGTAAATATTAAAAGAAATTATTTAAATGCAAATAGCAAAGTGGTGAAGATTTTTTTAAACCATAACCCAATTGGTAATTGATAATATAATATATTATATTACATTATTATATTTATATTACATTATTATGATATTACATTATTAGCCATTTTATATAAATCACAGTTATTTAACTTTACACAAACAAAACCTATCAATGCGCTTAAACACTTTGAGTCATTTGATATTTATTGTCAACTAATAAGCCTTAAGTTAATTAAAGTTTATTTTTTAGTTTGAATTTGTTACTTCTAAATTTCATTAGTTCGTTAGTTTGCTTACTACCATATAAAATACTTAACATGCGATCTGATTATGCTTTATATGTGTTTAAAAATGTAACGTTTATATGTTTTTGTTTGGTATACGTTTACAATGGTTGTTATTTTTTGTATTTGTAGGATCTTGTTATAATTGACAAACCAATTTGCAACATCGTAAGACCTAGTAATGATGAATGGACCGAAATTCACGATTTCATTATTAAAGATATTCAGAAAATTACGAGCAATCTTTTATTAGTTTTCCAATTGAAATATCGTAAAAAAACTGACACTAGCGACTTTTTTCCATTGGAATTAAAAATTGATGCGGGATTTCCGCTTATATCCGCCCACTTTCGTGAATTCCATAAATGGATTTGCGAAGAAAATTTTCCGGGACATAAAAATACTTGGGTGTGATAAAAAAATTAGTATTTAAATTTTTATGTAAAAATTGCAGACTGTTTATAAAATATCATTAAAATTACTTTTGCTTTTTACAACGATTTATCATTTATATATTTATTGTATTTCGAAATTTTAGTTTTATTTCCTATATAGGATTTTATATATTTTCTTTATATTTCCATTATGAAATTTTATAGGTTTTATATATATTCTGTTAAAGTATGACAGATGTAAAAGTTTCTAACTAATTTATTTTTTAAATGAACTTTTTCTCTTTAAACTCAGTTGTTTTTTATTCTGTTGCTGTCTTTAAAGGACTTTGCCATTTCGCCAGTTTTTAGATTTTTTTAAAATTTTTTGTAATGTTTTTAAAGACACTTTAAAAGCTCAGCAGTCATCTTTCTTTTTATTTACTTTGAAGCACTCTTTCTCTGGTTTGTGTACTTTGTTCAGTAATTGAAAACTAAATATAAAATCCGGGCTAGGTGCCAAAAAAGAAAAAAATTTTAATTGATTTTAAAATGTGTTCTATGTGCCAAACACTTTACAGTAAAAACCGGACTGAGTGATATTCATGAATGTTTTACAACAACTTAAGGCAGAAAAGTTTAAAAATTGATTTTTAAAAATTTCAAAGTCTAAAGTGTGATTTTTTTGAAATGTTTTTTCCTTTTGTTTTAAAATTTTAACCTGGTTTTTAAATTCAGTCTTCAATTATTTTATTTTTTAGAGTCACTTTTTTTTTGCTTTGAACTTATATACAATGTATATAACAGTATTTTAAAAAAGTAGTTGATAATAACTAAATCTGTCTGACTTGCACAATTAAGTTGACCAAACGTTGCGTTATTGGCCGGTGTCTATTGCAGAAAACCTTTCCAAAAAAGGCATTTGATTTACACATTTAGTAAATAAATTTCAAGAGTATTTTGAATAGCTAAATTTAATTGGAAAAAGTTCCCAAATTTCTACTGTCCCGAAAATCGAAGTTCTGTTGTATATCAAAACTATCCTTTAGTTTTAATCAGGACGTTTTCTATTAACTGAAGATTGATTTCTTTTTTTTCTTTAGTTACACCTAAATAATTAATACTTTTGATTTCAAATATAATATACTCTTTTGATTTCAAATATAATATATTCTTTGGTAAATTACCTTAAGTATCTTAAAATCTCAATACTTTCTGATATGGGTAATCTTAGTTATAAACTTTAGCATTTTTGCTCTGTTTCCCTAAAGATACTTTCCATTTGCCACTTTTACGCTTCATTGATATTATATGAAAGCTATTATTATTAGCCATTATTTTCATTTATATTAGTGCTGATTTATCTTGCAGTTCAGAATCAGAGAATATAAAAATAACTAGTAATTTTAATAAAGAAAAAATAAAAATCATATTACTGCTGTTATCAGACTCAGACCTCTCAACTTATATGTTTCATTGAACTGTTTTGAAGGTTAATGATTTGCGAATGCTAGGACCGTTGTGGCAGTTAGGTATTATTTAACGGTAGCGCTCACCGTTCAGTAGGTACACTCTAGGTACACTAGTACCTATACTGTACCTGAAGGTAATAAACATTGTACAGTATTTAATTGTAATTTAGTTCTTTAATTTTTTTTTGAGTTATTCTTGCGCCATAGACTTTTGCTGATTCTTTTTCTGCCATTTTATGTTAAAATAATATATAGAAGTTTATAAAGTAGTGAAAAAAACTATTTTTAAAGTATAAAAAAATGTACCCAAAGCACAAACACCGTTAAAAGATCTTTACAACAACCTGTTATTAAACCAGATATAGAATTTTTTTCTTAATATGATTTAACAATCTACATAAAACAAATGTTATTATTGTTATTATTATTATTATAGTTGTAGCCGTAAATTTACATAGAATGTACACATTCAGCGAGCAGGGAAAACACCCCACTATAAACAACCAGTTTTATAAATATTTGTTCCAAACTTATTCCACAACCAGGAGTCTAGTCTATTTTTGAAGGAAAGTACAGTGGAGTACAAAGTTATTTGCTCTGGTAGTTCGTTCCAGTATTTTGCTGATCTATTATACAAATAGTTATATCTTGGAAGACAGTTTGGAACATACTCACGCCTTATTTTAGAATGGTGACCACGAGACATGGAGTTAATATATTTTGGTAGATATTTATCTTTTCTTTTTTTTTTTTTAATTGATTTTTATTTATTTGAGTTTTCATGCTATATTTTTCTATACAATGTTCTTATATCCGAAGATATTGTTGGCTTAGCATAGGAACAGCCACAAATAGTCATTAAGACTAATCCAAAGTAGTGTCCGTTATTGACCAACATTTTTGCGTACCGAAGTACTACTCAAGCGCTGAGTTGGCGGTGGCGGGATTTGAACTCTTATCGTTCAACATTCCGGTTTTTAACTTTTCCTTTGACACTCTAACCATCTGACCTATCCCGCCACGTATCATTAACTATATCAAAACGATGTATTAATTTAAAATTTTGGATTAAATCGCATCGAAGGCGTCGAAACTCAAGTGATGGTAGATTTAATCTTTTTAGCCTTTCGTAGTATTGAAGATGTCTCAAGCTGTAAGCCCATTTTGTTGCTTTGCGTTGAACAGATTCAGCCAAAGCCATATCAGCTTTTAAATAAGGAGCCCAAATGGACACTCCATATTCAAGATGTGGTCTTATAAATACTTTATATAATTTGAGAGTTATTTTTTCATCAATGAAAGTAAATGTCTTTTTCAGCATACCAAGAATTTGTAAGGACTTAGAGACAACTGTTTTAATATGAGCGCTTCATTTGAGGTTAGATGTAAAAATGACTCCTAAATCACGTTCTTTAGTAGAGCTTCTTAGACATTAGTTGATTCCTTGGTTATTTTGCAGAAAGTAATTGTAATGGGAGTTGTTTCGACCGTAATGAATGACGCAGCATTTTGAGGTGTTTAACTTAAGTAACCAAGTGTTTGACCACTCGTATACCAAGCGTAGACGATCCTGCAGATCAACAAAATTAGATTGCAATAAAGTTTTAGAAAAAAGTTTAGTATCATCGGCAAATATCTCAGAAGTTTCAGTGAGTTTTGCAAGATCATTTGTGTAGAGAATGAAGAGGAGCGGGCCGAGAACAGAACCTTGAGGAACACCACTGAGAACATCAACCCATGCAGAGTTGGTATTGTTAATTGTAACGCGTTGCTTTCTGCCCACTAAAAAGGATTTAATCCATTGTAGGAGTTTGCCGTTTATTCCGAAAGATCTTAATTTTAACAAAAGTCTGTTGTGAGGTACAGAATCAAACGCTTTGGCAAAGTCAAAATAGATTACATCAATAAATTGGTGAGATGCTATGGAGGACGAAATTATATCAAAAGTTTCTATGAGGTTAGTTAAGCATGATTTATGATAAAGAAAGCCATGTTGATTTGCAGAGAGCATTTTATTACCGTTAATGTGCTTTAAAATTTTGTTCTACAAGTTTTTCGAAGATTTTACAGGCAACAGATGTTAGTGAAATAGGTCTATAGTTTTCAGCAAGTAATTTATCTCCTTTTTTTTTATAGATCGGACTAATATTTGCTAATTTCCATTGACTGGGCACTACTCCAGAATTAAAGGATTCATGAAAGATTTTTGTTAATGGAATTTTTGCACATATCTTGAGTATTAAGGGATGCAGGCCGTCAAATCTGAAGGATTTATAAGGGTTTAGATCGGCAAGTTCCTGAACAATATCTGGGATAGAGAAATCCAAGTTTTCATTATAAATGCATTCAGAATGAATACCACTTTTATTTAGTAAAGGAAAATTTTCAGAGCTTTCAAGTGTAAACATAGATTCAAATTGAGAGTTCAGAAGATCAACTAAATCAGGAAGAGCTTCAATAATTCTGCTAGAAGTATCTTTGAGAGAGCGAATTCGATCTTTAATTTTTAGTTGTTTGTTGATATATTTGTAAACAAGTTTTGGGTTGTTTTGGGATTTTGATATTTTTTTTTTTTTCATGTGCTTTTTTTGCTTTAAATATTTCAGCTTTTACTGAACGATTAAGTCGATTGTATTTTATTTTAAGCTCACTATTCTCCCATTTGGTAGAGCAGTTATTATGCCAAGCGGAATTTTTTTGCTCGGATTAGGTTTTTAATATGTGGGGTAACCCAAGGATCATACTTTTTTTTGTTTTATTAATCTTGGGAATAAAGTATGTGCAAGCAGTGCGATAGTTAGAAGTTAGTATATTGAACATTTGATCTGCAGTTTTATGCAGAAATAAAAACTCCCAGTCGATTGATGCAATAAAGTTAGATATTGAATCGTAATCACCTTTTTTGTAATTAAACGATTGAGATTCACTTTCTGTGAACAGTTCTGAAACTAAGAATCTCCAAGTGATACTAAAATGACCCTTAGTGTTATTACCTAGTATAGTACTAGGAGACAAGTTTAAAATAGAATTACTGTTGTAGGTAAATAACAAGTCCAACATATTATTTGAGGAACCATAATCAGTCTGGAAAGTAGGAAATCTGATATGTTGTGTAAAAAGGCTGTTTTGGAAAATATTCCAGAAATCATACTCGGTAGGATTGTTTGGGTTAAAAGATATAATACCATCGTTAGACCACTTCATATTCGGGAGGTTAAAGTCACCGACAATCAAACAGTTATCGTAGGGCTTTTTAATTAAACTATGAGCTAATTTGAAGGATTCAGCGACATATTTTATTAAACTAGCATCATTTGATCTGTATATACAACCGATAAGTATATGTTTATTGTTAAATTTTACAGATACCCAGACTTGATTGAGTAGATTTGTATAAAATTGGTTAACTTCATGAGAGTTAAATACGTCTGCAATGTAAATAGCTACACCGCCACCTCGACGTCCGTCTTGACGATCTTTACGATATAGGCTATACCCATCGATATTTGGTACTGAGTCATTTCGAAACCATGTTTCAGAGATAGTAATAACGTGATAATCAAACGTTCTAGATATTGAAATTAAATCGGCCATTTTATTATCGAGAGATGTAGCATTAGTATAATAATAATTACCGCTATTAAAGCTATAGTTTGTTTTTTTGTTATGAAGACTTTTACTTTTTTATTTTAAGTTTGCTTGTAAAAGAGTGGAAGAGGGGTAGTAATGTTTATGTAGTGGTTTGTATACTTTTGAGTTTGACGACTCCGCTGCTTCGTATACCGTATCTAAAAGGCGATGTTTTAAAATTGATATTACTATTTAATTCATTACGCTTCATTCTTAACTGATAGTTTAAATATCTTTCAACCTCAGTCAAATCTGGGCTTATAAAAACTGTGATGTAAAAAATGTCATAAGTATTTAACTTTTAAAGTTTAATTTTAAAATCTTGTTTAAACTTACATTAAACGACTAGTAAAGAAATGCATTTTTCTTACTTTTCCGCATTTATTAAATTGTTTTATTTTCAAAAAAATGTAAAGTATTCGTTACCCAAGTAATACATTTGA